TTGACTGGAACTCGTTCTGTCCTAGTTTGTATACAAGCATTGGATCTGAGGCTGTCCATAGCATAGGGGACAACTTTAATTCCCTATCTACTCAATCAGGATCCACATATGACTTGTATTGTTATATCATGACTGATCTTAGTTAAATCTGACTTGTTTGATTGCTGCTTATTATTGACAGATTTTATTCAAAACCTGTAAGGATGATGGCAACAAGTTGATTAGGGCAGACAACTATACTGCAAATGACAATGAGTCACTGCGATATCCATTCTGATTTGGTTACTACCTATTTTTGTAGCCCTACACTCTAAAGTTGTATTTCTGTTAATTCTGTTATATACTCATATGTTCAGTTATACTTTATCTGATGATATAGCCAATTCTGTTGATAACAAGAAACAGCACAGTGACCAGGATAGAACTCCTTATACAGCAGATTTATTTGTCTTTTTAGTTTTATATGTCTATAGGAAAAAGTTTAGTTCTGTCCAGCTTTGTTATGTTTCCCCCTCTAACAAAGAAAGGATAGAAATACATGTGAAGACTCAAGCTTCTGTAAAACCTATAACCAGTTTGTAAGCACTGATCTGATGACACATGATGAAATGAACAAAAACGTTGACAGAAAGAAAGTGGCACTGCGGTACCCAGTGCTGATTCCGGAGTGTTATGATGTGAAATCCATCAATATTATTAATCTCTGTTCAGAAGGATTTTAATCTAGTATGCTTTGTTAGGTCTCAACATAAATAAAGATATGGATAAACGCATACATGTCTTAAGTTTATAGGATTCATAGTCATAAAACTTAGTTTTTATTGGATAGTTGAACAGAATTGTTTGTAGTCCCCCTGGTTGAAATCCCATTTACATGTTCCACTTGTGTATCTTGAACAACTATTAATAGGAGGACAATATGTATACATCAGCTAGTGATTTATTACTATTTCTTTGCTTTGAAAGTATGTGCAGTCGTACATACTGCCATTTTCTATTTTGTTTTGTCTTTCTTTGAAAAAAAAATTGGAGGACAAAGAACTGCAAACAAAATATCCTCACACCACAGTCAGTGTTACTAACATACAGGGCCACAGATCCGCAGCTTCAAGGACCAAAACTGTGCAGTGCTTAGGGGGCATTTGGCCGTATAAGGAGTCTTTTGCTGTGTCAGTGAACTATGCAGCATCACGTCTGTTCTTGCCAGTACTCCTCAACAAAAGAGAAGTTTTTTGGTATTTCAATCACTATTGAAATGTCCAGCCTGATTCAGAAAGAGCAGCATTTGCATTTATTGTGCTTATCTAAATGATTTAGAGCAATTCTATCAAAATGTATTTTTGATGAGAGTAACTTAGCTTATTGAATAGACAGAGTTGAGTGAAGATGAGATCATGAGAAACATTGATTTTTTTTTTCCAGTTGACCTTGTGTTTGGCAGCATGATTCTCCTGTTATTTTCCTAAAATAAGACACCTAGATTCTTAAATTCTTTATGGAAAGTGATTTTCTCTTTTCACCTCAATGTTCATGTCATTTCTGTTTATTGCCTTAGAACACCACATATATATTTGGTCTCACATGACTTAGTCTTGGAGGTAGTGAACATTCCTATTTCTGATTTTAATATAAACCTAAAAATGCCTTCATTCAGGGACATGAGGGGAGTTCTGTATTCCATGTATGTTATCTAGGTATGAAGTTTCACTCATAACTTTTCTTCTGTGGAGTGCTTTAAAAACAATATAAATTGAGTTTTAGAAAATATGGCAAGATTTAAATAATCAGATAAAGTTTTTCTTTGTTGATTTTCATGATGAATTTTATGATAGGTTTCTCACCCTTTACTCAGATAAACATCTTCCTGTGATGCAGTTGTGTGTGTGCGTGTGTGGGGGTGTATCATACCTGGTACCTGACACAATTTAGGCACCATGTCACAAATTGGTTACCTTCCAAGAAGAGAAACCATTCTCTGGCCAAGTTCTCTTTGAATAGGGAATACTTTGTCTTGCATTGCAAATCTGCCTGCATATGTGAAATGTGTCTAAAATTCTCTTTCCATGTGAATGTTGATATGTCCGGCTTGGTTGTAAAAAGATGAACCAAGGTTCTTTGTGTTTATGGTGCTTTGAGGGTGAGAGCTCAGTGACTTAGAGTGACTTATTCAGAATTTATTTTTGGTGATGATAGCATCATTAAATGGATGTAGTCTGGGTGAATGTTAAGACCATGAGGAACATTGATGATTGTTTTTCCAGCTGACTTTGTGTTTGGCAGCACAGTTCTCCTAACGTATTACATCTTGATTCTTAAATAATTTATGGAAAGTGAGTTTTCTCTTCATTGCTCATGTTAGTAATTTCTGGTTTCTGCCCTGTAACGCCACTGTTGATTGTGATCTCATGGGACTGAGTCGTGGAGACAGCGGACATTCCTTTTTTTGATTTTAACTTAGCATCCGGACGGTGCCTTCATTCAGGACTCATAGGCTAGTTCTGTCCTCTGTCTCTTCCCAAGGCATGAGGTTCCATTTCATTTTTTCCTTCTTTGGCGGGCTCTGAGAAACAATATAAATTGAGATTTTGAAAACAGGTGTATGCCTAGATAGAGATAATCAGATGACGATTTACTTTGTAGATTGTTGTGATGAATTTTATGAGAGGTTTCTTACACTGAGACATCTGTATCTTAATCAGATAAATACCACCTTCTGTGTGAGTGAGTGTGTGTGTATGAGTGTGTGTGCTGCTGCACATGGGACCTGGGACCTGACTTGGTCTAAGCATCCGTTTCATCAGTGGACTGCCTGCCAAGAAGAGAGATTATTTTCTCTTTCCCACTGTACTTGAGTAGGGAATGCTTTGTCCCGCATTGAAGATCTGCCTGCCTTCCTGCAGTGTGGTGGTGTAATCCCCATGTTTTTGCACACACTTAGCAGTTTTCAGTTGAATGTTGCATAAATGTGATTAAATGTACTGTATTGTTTTCTAAACTTTTCTTGAATTACACACAGGTGAGACCATTCTTACTGTGAATGTCTTTTGTTACAAACTTTTTATTAGCATATGGTTATATATGTTACAAATAGTGAAAAAGTGTAAGCTCTAGGGAGTTGTTATTAATAGCACCCAGTTGTCACTCGAGCTGTGCACAGTGAGATGCCAGGATGCAGCGTCAGTGCTCTCGTCCTGGATAAAGTGTCAGGGCAGAAGCTGTTCTCACTCAACGCCTGCTGCTTCCCGCCTCTGCTGCCCTCTGCCTGTGTGTCGTGGGCTGCTTCTCCTCCGCGATGCCCCTCTCCCCCGCCTCCCTACTTTGCAGCAAGTCTTGCACTAAAATCTACAAATATGAGCCCAAATGACACTTTGCTCCCTTAATTTTGCATGTAGGGCATTTTTTTCTCAGCCATGTAAAGAAAGTAAGTAAGGCAGTTTCTATTTGTGGATGAACCCGTCACCGACTGTCTTCCTGCGCTGAGGGCTGTGTGTCACTTTCTATAATAATAGAGCCTTCCCCTTCACAGTGAATTCTGAAACTGTACGTTAAAGAAACTGTCGCATTTGCAGGCATATTCAAACTGAGACTTTTTCATCCGTTTTACCTTTGATTATCAGTCCCTGTTAAGTTTCCAGAGTGCTGGGATCAGTACGTGTCATACACATGGCATCGTGTCCATCCCCATCTCTCTCCTTAGGCCACCTTTTTGGTCACTGAGTCCCAGGACAGCTTGGCTTCCATAATCCAGCTTCAGAGTTCTAAGAAATTCTCCAACAGAAACTGTAAAGGTTTTCATTAGCTTTCCAGATTATCACGTGTAGTTTTTGGAGACTGTTCGTGAACAGGAAGAAGCAGACACAATGGAGCAGCACAGTGAAGACAGATGAAGGATCTGGGGAGACCGAGCTGATGCTCATGGGAAGGAGGCCAAGAGATGGGGGATGAAGTGGGTGGGGAAGGAGGAGGCCATGCGGGGTGCATGGACCTGCTCCCATGCCGAATGTGGTCAGCATCGCTGCAGGGCAGCCTGATGGACGATTTTTGAAACTGAAGGAAAATAAAAGCACTTTAGCTTCCTGTTCTTCTTTGCATATTGAAACAGCAGTCAGGTCTCCACAGGCACCCTGGCAGTGTTTTCCGAGATTGCAGTGTTGGAATGAGAGGGAGGGGCGCTGTCACTGGTGCCCGAAGGGATGGGCAGGCCAGGCTTCCTAGCAGGCAGTTGGATGATGTAGGTGAGAATAGCACTGTGTGTGTCTTGGGGTCATCTGGACCACAAGAGAAGCTCAGGCTTGTCACTGCACGTGGCCTGCCCCTCCTCCCCACTCCACCTCTCCAGGTCCTTCTATCTTACAGGCTGCTCCTTGTCCTAGTTTGGCTGTGCAAAAACTGTCTATGCAGTTGCCCAGATCGGTTACCCTTCTCTGGGTCTTCTGATGTCTTAAACACCCCAGGAGAGCAGCGGGGTTGCTTTCATCCCCCTTCTTAGCCAAGGTGGGTGGAGCTCTCCAGGGTAAACTTACACAGGTCACATGTAACCTAGTGCGGGAAGCAACAAAAGGTAGAAATTCAACAGCACTGTGTAAGCAGAACTGGAAAAGGGAGTGATCAGTGCCCTAAACAGCAAGTTAGAGAACATGCATTTTCTTTGATGCCTCAGAGCAATTCTTCATGTCTTTGTTTCTTACTTTTTTCACTTGGATTTGGATTCGTAGGCTTCTACTGTGACTCGTGCTTTAGTGACTTTGTACTAGTAAACTTAAGTTTAACCAGCAGGAGAAGCACTGTCCCATCCCACTGTGACTTGAGCACCCAATTCCAGGGTAGCCTCACAGGTCCCGTGAGACAAGTGTAACTGGATGCAGAATAAATGTGTGATGACCATGACACCCTTAAATATGGGGAAAAGTCAGCCTCACATGGGCTGTTTACGGGTAGAGTTGAGAGACCTCATGTTTGTGACTCACTGTTTTTCCTGAAATCCATGTCTGATGATGCAGGAGGTGGTGACCTTCGAGGATGTGGCTGTGAGCTTCACCGGTGAGGAGTGGGCTATGCTGGATCCAATCCAGAAGAAGCTCTACAGAGATGTGATGCTGGAAACCTTTACGAACCTGGCTGCTGTAGGTAAGGAAGATGCCATTTTGGGTGCTGCTCATCAGCACAGTGTCCTTAATGGGAAGATGGAAACGTTATGTGTGAAACATTATGTGGCCAAATGGTCACCCTGTACTGCGAATCCAACTGGACTCTCCCAAGTTTCATATGTTTAGTAAGTCATTACATTCCTGTTTCTACCCTTTAGGAAGGGACTCAGATGACCAGCATGCTGAAGATGAGTACAGAAATTGCAGGAAACATCTAAGGTAATTTGTAGTTAGAGAAGAAAGATCCACAAATGTCAGAATATTAAACCCAAGGAAACTATACAAATGAGATCCTGTTCAGACTTCTTTATCTTCACAAAATTTCTCAGTGGATTGAACATGTCTAATCTGACAGCTGAATATTTGAAATATTCCAGTGTCTGAAATCCATTTGGTATTCATCTTATGCCATCGTTGAGGTAAAGTAAAAGAGCACTTAGCGGGATGCTGGGTACCCACTGTAATGCCAGCACCTGGAGACTGAGGCAGGAACACTGCCACCAGGTCAGGCCAGAGTGGGACATACAGTGAGTTCAAAGCCACTGACTTCAAAGCCCCAATGGCCGTGAAGCCTTAGCTGAAATTTTAAAAATTAAAATAAAAAAATTTACAAGTTTTTCCATGCTCAGATTTATACATGTTTTCACTGAAATTGAATTCAGACATTGAGGACAAGACGATATGAAACACATTTTTTGTGTGCACCTAGAGCTAATTTCTAATGGTATGTACATGTGTTTTTAAAAGACCAATTCCATACTAAACAAATTATAGGTGACATTATATGCAGTTCAATGTGATGTACCCATAGAGTGTTTGAAAATTTTAATATTGTGGATATATTCAAAATCTAAATGAATACCACTGTTCTGATGTGATTGATTTCTTTTCAAGCAGTCCTCCAAAACCCACAGATGATTCATATTCTATATATTAAAAGGTACATCTCCATGTCATTGGCGGAACTGTCAGTGTGCTGTGATATCTATGCCGATGGATACGGAGATGCCACAGAAAAAGAAATGTAGACGTTGTATTTTATCATCTATACTGTTTTTTTAAAAAATAGGTTATCACTGTGTAGTCCAGGGTGACCTCAAACTCACAGTGATCCTCTAGCTTCAGCCTCCCAAAGGCTAGGATGACAGTAACGCAACACCCTCCCGGGGTTTACCCAACTATACTTACACTGCTTGTATTCCCCAAATGTTTAAATAATGACATTACATTAGTTATCAAATAACCATTTGTAGCAACACAAATTGGAAAAGCTAAGCTCCGGTGAAAGCCTAAATATCCATTCTCAGATGAACTGACTAAGGAAATACGGAATTCACTTAGGCATAAAAGGACAGGCTTTGAATGTTAGTATTCTAGTAAACTGAAGCAGGAAGATCATGCATTCATACTTAGCCTGGGTAACTTAATGATTGATGAGACTCCGTTTCAAAATAAAAATAAAAATGCATGTGCATGTATCTTAATGCTAAAACTGTGGATTCAATTTCCAGTAGTGAAAAACATGTATTCTATCCACATAATGGCTTAGTATTCATGCCAAAAAGAATGAAGTGCCGTTTGTCAAAATATACCATAAAGTTAGATTAAATAAGTCAAAAAGAAATTTCAGTATCAAATGTTCTCTTATGCATGAGAATCCCACCATATGAGCTAAGGAGTAAACAGGAGAGAGATGGTGGCAGAGAGAGAGGTAGGCACTGGAGGGGCTGAGGGGGCTGAGTGGAGGGCAGGGGATGGGATCATGGCGGGAAAGGTGTGAGAGGTCAGCAGTGCATGGAGCTGGGTTCTGCAAGCTGTGCTGCAGTTCCTCAATGTGGAAATAAGTATTGGGAATTGCAAATGGGTCAATTACAAACTCTCATTTGAATCCTGTTTGGGTGACAGCTGCATCCCAGCTGTCTTGCAGGCTGCACAATAAGGGATGGTTGTGTGTTCTTAAGGGCATCCAAGCAGATCTCCTTGTGGTGAATCACTACTACAAAGACACTGTAAAATGTGAGGTTGATTTGTTACTCTCCCCTCTTTCAGAAGTGAAGAGATAGAGCAGTCCTGGCAGTATCAACTCTGGTATCAACAAGGCAAAATGGTTTCTCCGACACCTGACACAAATGTGCAAATGAGAGTCATTGGTATAAAACCACGTGAAAGCGTTTCCATCATTACATCAAATGATGTGCAAATTGGAGCAAGCAGTCACAGTGAAGTAAATATGTACATACGTGTATCATCGGGAAAGGAAACTCGGGCACATGAAAAACCTCACTTTAGAGATAAAACCTATGGACTTGAACAATGTGGAAAATCCTTCACTAACAATTCATTGGCTAATGATGCAAGAAGTCACTTGGCAGAAAAACCGTATGTATGTAAACAATGTGGGAAAGCTTTTAGCAGAAGAGATAGTTTGCGAATGCATGAATGGATTCACACTGGAGAAAAACCCTATGTATGTAACCAGTGTGGGAAAGCATTCAGGAAAGGTAGTACTTGCAGAATTCATGAGAGAATTCACACTGGAGAGAAACCTTATATATGTAACCAATGTGGGAAAGCTTTCAGCACCCGAAATAGTTGTCGAATACATGAAAGAAGTCACACTGGGGAGAAACCCTATGTATGTAAGCAATGCGGAAAAGCTTTAAGCACACGTGCTCATTGTGAAATACATGAAAGAAGTCACACTGGGGAGAAACCCTATGTATGCAAGCACTGTGGGAAAGCTTTTAGCACAAAATATTATTGTCAAGTACATGAAAAATTTCACACTGCAGACAGACCCTATGTATGTAAGCAGTGTGGGAAAGCATTCAGCAAAGGTAGTACTTACAGAATTCATGAGAGAATTCACACTGGAGAGAAACCTTATATTTGTAACCAATGTGGGAAAGCTTTTAGCTCCCAAGATAGTTGCCGAATACATGAAAGAACTCACACTGGGGAGAAACCCTATGTATGTAAGCAGTGTGGGAAAGCTTTCAGCACAAGTAGTAGTTGTCGAATTCATGAAAGAATTCACACTGGAGAAAAACCTTATGTGTGTAACCATTGTGGGAAAGCTTTCATCACCCATGGTCACTGCCGGGCACATGAAAGAAGTCATACTGGGGAGAAACCCTATATATGTAATCATTGTGGAAAAGCATTCAGCACAAAAAGAAATTGTCAAGTACATAAAAGAATTCACACTGCAGAGAAACTCTATGTGTGCAAGCAGTGTGGGAAAGCTTTCACCACAAACACAGTTTGTAAAACACATGAAATGATTCACACTGGGGAGAAACCATATGTATGTAAGAAATGTGGGAAAGCTTTCACCACAAAAAGGAATTGTCAAGTACATGAAAGGACTCACACTGGAGAGAAACCCTATGTATGTAAGCAGTGTGGGAAAGCTTTTGCCACATACAGTGGTATTAGAGTACATGAAAGGACTCACACTGGAGAGAAACCCCATGTATGCAAGCAATGTGGAAAAGCTTTTGCTACATACAGTGGTGTTAGTGTACATGAAAGAACTCACTACAGAGAGACTGTATGTATGTAAGCAATGTGGGGGAGCTTTTAAGACTAAAAGGTGTTGTCGAGTTCATGAAAGTATTCACACTAGTGAGAAACTATGTATGTAAGCACTGTGGGAAAGCTTTCAGCAGAAAATATAGATGGCAACATCATGAAAGGAGTCACACTGCAGGAAAACTATATATGAGCACTGTGGGAAAGCATTCAGCACAAAAGATAATAGGCGAAAACATGAAAGGACTCACTGTAGAGAAAGCCTGGTTGTGTAAGTGATGTGGAAAATCTTTCAGCACAAGTGCTTATTGCGGAAAAAACATGAAAAAATTCACACTGTGTATGAATTATGTTTGCCAGATATATGCTAAAGCTTTTAATTCAAGATATTGTCAAATCATGAAAAGACACTGCAGAGAAAACCTGTATATGTAAGCCGTATGGTAAAGCTTTCAGCACACATGGTTATTGTGAAACATCAAAGAATTAACACTGAGGAGAAGCCCTATGTATATAAGCAATATAGGAGAACTTTCACTACAAAGATTACAAGATTTGTGAAGGTGTCCACACTTTGTAAAAAAACCTATGTACATTAGCAGTGTGTACTAGCCATATTTGAATACATTAAAGGACTCCCACTGTAGAGAAACAGTAAGGTGGGAAAGGCTTTGGACAAAACTTATTCTAAATTAACTAATGGACTCATAATGGGGAGAAACCCTAAGTATGTAAGCAATGTGGGAAAGTAGAAAAATACGTTACTGCCCAGTACATGAAAAGCCTCACTGCAGAGAAGTCCTATGTATGTAAGCTATATAGAAAACCTTCCAGTGGGCCGGGAGTTTAGCTCAGCAGTGTAAGTGCCTGCTTGGCAAATGCAAGATCATGAGTTCGATCCCTAGCAATAACATACCCAAAAATACTACTTGAGCTGGGATTTAGCTCAACTGCATAAATGCCTGCCTTGCAAGCGTATGGTTGTGAGTTTGATCCCTGGTACCAAAAACAAATAAACAAACAAAAAAACCAAAAAACAGAAATCCTTCCAGCACATACAGTCATTATCAAGTACATAAGACAGCTCACACTGGGGAAAAACCCTAGGTATGTACAGAATATGGGAAAGCTTCTAGCAAAATACATTACTGTCAAGTACATGCAAAGACTCACTGTAGAGAAGTCCTTTCTACATAAGCAACAGAGTAAACATACCTGTACACTGAGTACACAAGAGAACTCAGACTGGGGAAAAACCCTATGTAAGTAAACTGTGGGAAATTTTTCAGTAAATCATATTTTAAAATATATAAAAAGACACTGTGGAGAAACCCAGCGTTTGCAGGCAATGTGGAAAGCCTTTCGGCATGCAGTGTTTGACCAAGATACAAATGGACTCATAAGCTTTAAATGCTATCTATGTAAACAATGAGAGAATGCAGTCAGTACAGATTGATACTGTGAAATACATAAAAAATCTCACTTAGGAGAAAGACTGTTACTGGAAAAGCCTTTTCAGTAACATCATCAGTATATAAAAGGGAGAATAAAATCTGAACATATAAAGTGACTTATACTGACATGAATCATATGGAGTAGATCTTTTCTTGAAATAATAAAGCATGTTGTAGTCCAACTGGTATCAATAAATAGATGAAAGAATTTACAGTGGACAGACTCACAACATGGATGAGCTATGTAGGAGTATTTTTTCCTCACCTGAAATATATGAAAGAATTCTAATGAAAAGAAATCCATATTCTTCCATTCTTCCAATTGACTTGAAATACATGAAAGTACTTCCACTAAAAAGAAATCTGGGTAAGTAATGTGAGAATTCATTGATAAGATAATATCACAAAACCTACAGATTCAGGAGGGTTAGTAAAAAGCAGAATATGAGAAATCATTTTTGCATTTTTTATTAAATCTTGCACAGCACAGTAGAGTTCATAAGAATGTCCATCATGTGGGAACACCTGTAGTCATTTTGGCTTAATTCATGTGGCGTGTTAGCACAGCACTGTGGCAGAACATTAATATAACTGATGTACAGAAGTTCTCAGTTGCACTGCATCTAAGAGTGAATATTGTATCTATCGGTGTTTGTACGAAACTCTCAGCTATAATTTTCCTAATTCTTTGATCAATTTTATATAGTTTAAACCTAAAGATGAGTTATGTTAAAATAAGATATCAATTATTTCTCCAGAAAATGCACATGTGGAAGAGATATCTTAAAGTAAAAATACTGTAAACTCAGTCTTAATGGAGATTTCTGGATTAAATAATTTGAAGTTTACTTTTAAAAATATATACTACATTTAGGGGCTGGGGATTTAGCTCAGTGGCATAAGCGCCTGCCTTGCAAGCAGGCAGTCATGAGTTCGATCCCTGGTACCAGTAAAAACGAAAAAGACAAAAAAAAAAAAAAAAAAAGAAAAAAAATATATACTACATTTAAATCTGTGCCTCCTTGTAAGCAGTGGCACAGCAGATTCGTATTGTTTTCTTAAAGTAGATGATAATTGTCTTTTATTTGTTAGAGCTGCAGGTTAGATATCTTGTATTTCCATACACACCATTAGGTTCATTATTTTGGGTTTTCTTGTTTGTTCCTTTGTTTTCTCTTTAAGGAACTGTGCTCTAAAGCTGAGTTTCCATTAACTGTTGTTATTTTTCCACTAGTTTGTATTTAAACTTTTGCTGTATACTGTGCACTATTCTAGTAAGAATTTTATAAATGGATGTCATAATTTATAATTTTAATCCTAGTAACTTCCATACATGTGTTTGAGCGTGCATTTGTTTCAAATAATATGTAAGTTAACAAATACATTTTTAATACTGTAAAAATAATATATTGCAACATGATTACAAATCACAGGGAGTGCAAAAATTTGTCCGCCATTTCTCCACATCAGAAACATTAATATCATGTGTCTATAATATCAGTTGTTTTTTATCATTAAATTTTACTTTTTAGGCTCATATTCCATGATTTATTTTGGAATTCATTATTCAAAGTATATCTCTATTTCTATGAGTCCCCCACTGCCAGAGACCAGCAGGACTATATATTTTCTCAGTGAAAATACAATACATTATAATTAACCTCTCCACATTCCTTAATGATGATTTTCGATTGTGTGCAAGAACATCCTCAGGAATTTTGATCCTATTGATTTTTGACACTATTGGGTGCTTTCTTTTATTCACAATTTGTCAGTTCTTAGCTCTATTTTTTCTATGCTGAAAATATCTTTTATACTTTGGAAATACATTTTTTAACTTGGAAAACTCAAATCAGTCATTAAAAATAGAAATTGAGTAATTTGTGTGATTCATTTGTGTTCTATTTTCTCAAATTTAGACATAGATTTATGGTAGTGTTTTCATTGCCAAGTACCACTGTCAGATGATTAAAGAAAATGATGTCACTTACACAGCATAAGATTTGTTCATGCTGTCAGGGTGAGACCATCTGGCATCCTTGACTTATTTTGCCTCTATCTCCAAATACTGCAGTGCTTTGTAAAATATGCTGCATTGCTTTCCCTTTCAATTCAGTAGCAGCTCCATTTACCATGAGGTCAGGTTTCAGTAATGCCAGGTCAGAGCGTAAATGAGAAATACATTGAGTAGTCTTAGTACTCTGCACATTGGTACCTCACCGTAGCCTAAGTTTATTATACTTAGACAAGCCACATTTTATTTACTCTTTTCTTTTTAATGATAAGGTCTCGCCATGTAGCCTTCAACTCATGGCAATCTTAATCCTGCCAAATGTTGGTTAGGCATTTACCACCCCAGGGAAATTTTTTGTCTATTTTATAATGAAATAATCTGTCTCATTTATCTTGAACTCTACTACATTGTGTAATATACCATATGCATTTATATGCTTGCATTTGTGAGTAATTTTACTTCAGTTCATTTCTAACTCTTATCATCATTAGAGCATTGCATAATGCACACTGTTAGAGCAGCCAAAGCAAAACTGCAAATAGAGGTCATTTTATCCTGAGCATATTTATTTCCCACCAGCTTACAATCAAGAAAATATTAATGTCAGCAGTTTGTGTCTGTCATGTTGCCACTCAGGCACAGGTGTACTGCGTAATTAAAACTAAATGGGGGCAGAGGGGAAATAACGTGTGCAACTCGGTGGAATGTGTGCCAAAATATGAGAAGCTCTAACTGAAGCTAGAATAAAACCACATAAAACAAAATAAAGCCAATCAAAACAAGACTTGTCAGTGAGAATGGACTTTAAAACAAGATATTAGGAAATCAACAATGGTCACCCTGTGACTCTTGTCTTCAAAATAGCTGCCCATACCTTCAGACGTAGTAAAATCAAGCAAAACATGACAGAATACAGCAATGAAAACAAAATAATGATTTCAGTACAAGACTTCAGAACAATATAATAGTGAATCCAATATGGGTACCATAGTATATCTTGTTATCATTGAAATAGCAACTCATGTCATCAGATACAATAAAATCAAGATAAAACAATAAAATCCAACCAACCAAAACAATGAGAATGATACAGGACTTTAAAACAATAGAACATTAACTATGGCTGCCACCTTAGGAAGGAGAGCCTGCATTTATGCTACACTGTGTATTGTTCTCCTAACACATGTTTAGACTACCAGTTTTAGGCCTATAAACTCAGTGAAACACTAAACATTACAACTATTAAGTTGTATTTTTGCTTATTAGCTATCATCACAGCCTGTGTTTCTCCAGATCAGCCAGTCGCTTATGAGCAGTGGGGACATAGGCTCTTCTTGTGTTCCTGCCCACATGCCATAAGGGGCTGGCATCTGGCTTTCCATCAATCATCCTGCACATGGGGCCGAGTCACAGAAAGTCTTATATTCTTTTTGACTTCTTTTTCTCCTCCTGCACAGTCCATAAATGACGCTGATGCCTCTGACCTTCCCTCAGGCAACCTGTGTGTGGCTGCAAACCACAGGAAATCTCAGCTTCTTACTGACCTCCTGTTCTCTTCTTCCACAGTTTGAGAATGACACTAACTCAGCAGAGTGCAGGTATCTTGCTCCCCACCAATCAGTCCGGGCATGGTGCCGAGTCACAGGAGGTCTTACGTTCTTGTTGATTTCTTGTTCTACTCTCAGTCTTTGAATGGCCCTGACTCACAGGAGAGGGCTGGCATCTCTCATTTTTTCACTTTAAGCTTCACGTATTCTGTCCATTTTCCTGCCCCATCTTCAAATTTGGTGAAAGATCAATAAATATTGACAATCCAGAGAAACAGTTTTCTTAGCTCCAAGAAAGTTCTGACCTGAACTGGAATATTGTCAATCTGATAAAAGTCTTAATGACATTCCTACTGTTAACAACATACAATACTGGAAATACTGAAAAAATTCCTCAAATGTAAAAGAAGATAATGTGGATTCTCATTGCTTAAGATAATATTGAATATGGTATTCAATATGGTACTGTTTAACATAATAATCCTATTCAATATAGTACTCAAAATATTTCTCATAGCAATCAGCAATAGGAAGAAATATAGAGAAAATGTAGAGGAATGAGCCAAACCATATTTATAAATGACAAGATTATTTACATGGAAACATCAAAAGAATTCCTCAGTAGTGACCTAGAACTAATAAACAAATCCAGAAATTTAGTAGGATACAAAATCAGTAACAAAAATTAATACCAACACTAAAAATTTGAAGTCACTGGAAACCAAATCAAGGAAATAATACAATTAAATATAGCATCAATAATGTATATTGAAATAGCAAGGGAAGTAAAAGATCTCTGTAAAAAAATGTGGCTTTTTTTGTGGAAAAATGTGATCAAAGAAGACCTCAAAAATAGCAATATAACCCCTTTTTCTGAGTAGGCAAAATAAGTATTGTCACATTTCCAAAACTGAAACATACATTGAATGCAACCCCAATCAAAACACCAACATCATTCTTCATCAGAGAGATCAAAATAGCAAAAGCATTGCTGGGCAGTAAAACAAGCAGCAGGAATCACAATATCAGACTTCAGGTTATTTTACAAAGCTGCAGTGAATTCTATGTTCTATGAAAAGCAGACACGTAGGTAGATGAATTCAAGGAAAGACTGCAGAAACCTACAGGTACATGGAGCAGTCTGACATTTGAAAAATGCTGAAGAAAGTGATAAACAGTGCTGAGAATCTTTTCCACATAGACATAATGGAATCAAGACCATTGTCTCTCAGCATGGGTTCAACTAGTCACAATAGATCAAAAACCTAGAAATAAAAACATACAGAGTCTGCAAAAGGTGAACTAGGTAAAAGTCTTGAAGACAGGTGTCTTCAATAACTATCTCATCAGAAAACTAATTGAAGAAGAAACAACATTAAGATTCAAGTTTTATCATATCAACATGAAAAATTTCTGCACAGCAGAGTTCAACTACCAGCACAGTGAAGTGACAAATAACAGAATGGGAAAACAGTTTTGCCAGCTACTCCTCAGACAGGTGACTAATATATGAAAATACCAGAACATCAGCAAATTAGAGCCCTTCCAAAATAAGGCTGAAACAAAAAACGAAAGTACAAATTGAGGTACAAATAAGTCCATGGAAAAATGTTCAACATCACTACCAGCACTAACTTAAATAACAAGAAATGCTCTCATGGTTTGTAGCATTTGGTTGGTAGGAAAGTAAAATGGTACAACCACTAAAAGAAGCACTATGAGAATATTTCAGAAAACTAAAAACTAAGAATTATTTGTGATGAAAGATTTACCTCCCAAAATGATTTGTTATCATAATGCAGTAATACTGGCATGCACATGTTTAAAGCAGCGCAATGCCATGATTGATACATGAATCAATAGGAAAACACGGTATATATGAAGAATACAGTACTATTTAGCCACAAAAAAGGATAAACAGGACTTATTTATAGCCAAATTGATGCACATGAAAGGTATAATGCAAAAGATGGTGGATTGGTAAGCAGCAGAATACAGAAGCTCCCTGAGAGAGACAACTCAGATGCTGGAATAAACTATCATGGAAAGGTCCAGACAGAGGGAGATGGATCCTCTCGACCCAGGAAGAAACTAAAGGGAAAAGAGTTGGTCAAGCACACAGTCCTGGGGCTACAATTGGTGCAGCTAAGATTAGCGGCCATGCAAATTCCCACTGCTGAGACTTGCTGGAGCCATGGTTGCACTGAAGTTAGAGGTCTCCAAACCTAATAGACAATGGAACCAGCAAAGGACCTGCATTAACCCTCAGTGAGTGCTGGAAGTAAGATCCTCCCATGGGAAAGGAGTGACCAACTGGACGACATGTTGGAATTAGGCAGAATGGGCAGGAACAAGGAACAGTAGTGATTTCACTCAGTTGTTTCCTTCCCAGAGCCGATTGGTGGGATCTGCTTGGCTTGGGTCACACTCCAGGCTGAGACCCAATAAGTCACCCCACATCAATTCTGTATGCGTGGCACACACTAACACAGTGAAGGCCCTAACAGGTTGACTTACCCAGAGGGGAGGGGCCAGCATATGCTGTATCTGTTTGCACCTCAGTGACCAACAGAAAAACTGGAGAGGACAGAAATCCCTAGCCAGCATGCTTCAGATGAACCATAACCAACAAGGAAAGGGGTTGGGACCTCCTCTATACACCTGTATGGAAGAAAACAAAATCATGACAAAAGAAAGAAGTAAGAAAAAGTCCCCAACCCTGAGGACATTGATACAGGAGAGGTAAATACAAAAGAGATTGAGGGCAGCAAACATGCAATAGCTGACATGGCATCAGTAGACAAAAGAAATACTTTGGGACCTCATACGTGAATTCAAAATTAAATATTAATGCAAGTAAAGCAAAATATACATAGATTAATAAAAGAAATGCTAGGAATCTCTCAAAGAAGACACAGACAGAAGAATAGAAGAAGACAAAAAAAGGAGAGAAACGTTCAATGATAAATATAGAGAAAACCTAGAATACATGAAGCACGTTCAAAGAGATTACCAGGAAATTAAATACTCCATTGAAAGCTGGCAAAACTGCTCGAAAGAAACTAAGGATAGACTATTAAACCTTGAACACAGTTTTGCAATGTGTGATTATGAAAGGAAAGATCTCTTAAAAGTACAAGGAAACAGGCAGTAATGATACAAAGGCTAGAAGATGACAAAAGGATCTATAACTTAAGAATAAAGAATTCAATGAAGAAGCAGGGGTAAAACAAGGAAATACAAAGACTATTCAGAGAAATAATTATGGAAAATTCCCCAAGCATAGGAAAAGGAAATGATATTCAGAAGTTTGAGGCAT